ACTTATTCAACCTTTTACAGCTCAAATGTTACTGAACAAAAATATCCCAACTCTCCCCACTTTTACAAAGAAAATGTAGACACAATAAATGTATATATTGAATGATAAATTGATATAGTAATTATCATGACAGGCCTATGTTAATCATTGTCTTTCCAAACAATACAACAGCAGCGACTTGTCGTAGCTCGAATAGAACCAGAAAACATTATGCTCCGGGGTTTGTGCTCTAACCACACAAGCACATGTTTATTTGTTTATTGTCTATTTGATTATGCATTTTATTTTCATTTTTGCTTTTTTCAGTGCCTGCAGAACTGCCTGACTTTTAACCATCATCGCTCAAAAGCAGTTGTGTGGTGAAGCATGACATGAACAACCAAGACAATGAAATGCTCAGTGTCTGATATCTGAATCTGCCTTGTGGGCACGCTGTCACTGAAATCAACCGGAATATCATCTTAAAATGTCGCTTTTTATTTGCGGGCACCAACAGCATTAGTGAAGTCTGGTTTATGACACGAGGATAGGCCTGGCTGAGGGGTAAGCTAAATAGAAAAATACACTGTAGCTCTTCCTTATGCCTCACTCCAAGCAAAACACAACGATTTATTGACATTTGTAGTCTGCCTAGCCACCTCGGGCACGCAGACTAGCAACTACCACCTTATCTTAGAGGCAAGGAAGGAAATTTGACACAAAACTGGAGAAGCGTTAAGTCCGCGCCAATAAAACTGACATTATATACAAGAGACACTTTTGCAGTTTTAAATGCATGTATGTGAGGCTGGGGTCAACTAAAACCTGCAGGAGTTTCCTCTCTGGCGATGTCTATACTCACCCTGTAAGATTTAAGAGACAGGCCCTGTTGGCTGCTCCTAAATAAAGAGACTCCCTTTTTCCTGAGGGGGTAGGTCTCAGTTACATTTGCTCTCATACACATAATAAAGGTGCACTGTGCAACTTTTCAGGGGATCTCTGTTATGATGTTTTGCTGGAAATGTCCCACAGCAGAGCATTAATCTGTCTTTCATCTTTTCAATTACAGGTGTTTTATTACAAAAATACCTTGAAAAATACGCATTCTTACTTTGAGAATGCTTGCCTTGCCAAAGATCTGAACTATAACTCGGCCTGTGGGGGTTTAAATGCCATAAAATTGAATACTCCAAGGAAAAGAGGCAAGCAGGCATGGACACTACAAAGTTACAGTACATGTTGTACCTTAAGTAACATTTATACACAACTATACATCTCTGAGTACTATTAACATTCATTTACTCTTATACTTGAGGAGCATATTTCATAATATTAACAATACTCCCATTGAGTAAAGGTTTTGATTTTCCTTCCTATTATGTAAGTGGAGGAGTGACAAAAGTTTTATGTTGACAATAATAAATGATTTGAACATTTGTGTTTCTTGCACTCTGTCATGTATGATTTTTTTATTTTATTTTTTTTTATTTTAGTGGTCCATCCTTTTAAAACACTGAATTTTGTGCACAATTTAAAGGGCCCATATTATTGCTATTTTCTGATCTATGTTATAATGCTGTTTCCTCATTACAAAACTTGTGTTTTGTTTTTTTTTTCACATATTTAAGACACACATTTTGCATATTTTGGCAGAGTACTTTTCTCACTCTGAAAATACTCAGTTCCATTTTGTGTCATGTGATAATACAGCAAGTCAGGCATGTCCAAACTATGGCTCGGGGGTCAAATGCAGCCGTCAGACCCATTTTTGTTGGCTCTCGGGCTTCTGGAATTGGCACAAATGACCAAAAGTAGTTCTTTTTTACTGCTAATTTAGATCTGCTAACTTAACTTATTTTGACGTGGTACAGACTTATCATAACTTAAATAAATTTAACTCAAGCCTTTTTAAAGGTGTGGTTGCTCAGACAAACCTACATCAAATGCAACATTTTGAAAAATTCGCTACTGTCTGTGGGTCTAAGTTTCAATATGTGGCCCTCAGTGAAAACAGTTTGGACAATCCTGCAGTAAGTGCTCCACAAAAGGTAAACAAAAAGGTAACAAAAGGTAAAATATAGCTGTTTCATGTTTTGTATTTTGAGGAATAGTTTCCTCTACTACTTTTTAACCTTTACTAGCTTGACTAATTTCTTGTACCACTTTGTACTTCATCTTAAGTAATATTATTCTAAAGTAACAGTATTACTTGAACAATGTTTTGGCTATTCTACCCACCTCTGCCCTTTTGAAAGTTATTGCATAGAAGAGGAGTGGAGAGGAGGAGAGCGTCTGCATTCAGGGAGGACACCATGAGGCGGCCGAGCGTGAAGTCTCCTCAGAAAAGTGCCAGTGATCTGCTCCAGAAGTCCCCTTGATTGCTTTGTTTCACTGAACGCGATCATGCCACTGTTTGTAGCTGTCGAGAATGTATAATGTAGACTATATACGAACAGAGGTGGATGGAGTAGCCAAAAATTGTTTTCAAAGTACCTTGGTGCCATCGAGAACTTACAGGTAAGAAAAAGAATGCTTGTTTTCATGGTATTTTTGAGCAATAAAAAGGCAAAGATGAAATAAATGATATATTTAAAGGGCCCATATTACGCTATTTTCTGATCTATGTAATAATATTGTTTCCTCATCAAAAAAAACAAATACCCAGAGCTGTGTTTTTGTTTTATTCACATGCATTTAACTCACAGACCCTGCTTATTTAAGGTGAGTTCTTCTCTCAAACAGAAAACACTCAGCCCTGGATTTGCCAATCTCTAAGCTGTTAACTTGAAAACTACCACTACATGACATCACAAGGTAGGACAGAGCATTTTGAACTCTGGAGATGTAGACAGACTAACAATAAAGGATTACTTGTGTGAATGAAACAAAGCACAACTCCAGATATGTTATTGATAAGGTAACAACTTTCTAACATGGCTTGAAGATCACAATATCCATTTTTCTTAATATATAGGAACTTTAATGATGAAACATTCTAAGCAAACAAAGTGGACCATCCCTTCATCAGAAAACGTTAGTATGTCAATCATATGAACTGTTAAAAAATAGATTCTTTAATCAAATTTTGAAAGTGGATTAATCTCTGTTGAAAAGCAGCTGATATACATTAATTGGCTGGTCAAGAGTTATTCACACTGTGATGTCTGACATGTTTGTTCTTTTAAAATCTCAACATTTAGAAAAAAATCGATAAAACTATTGATTTTTCACTCACATTTGACATTTGGGAGCTTTCAGGGAGCTTTGAACTTTACATATTCTCCAAACATACACTGTAAAAAGTGCAGGGGCAGCAGTTACTATGAAAAGGTCCATGTATACCGCTGCGCTAGAGACCAGAGTCCATGATTGTGTCAAGTTCAGTTTCTTTTAAATTAATGAGGCACCATTTTCAGGATCTATTGTTCTGTCGCCACTGCTCAGCGATTTATGCTCTTTGGCTGTGGCTCATATGTCCTATTTTCCTTCAGCATAGAGCTAAGGCACAGACTTTAGACTGCATAGGCCTATAGTGCCACATCTGAAGCAGTTTCTCGCTGTTCCCCTCACTTCGTCTGAACTGGGACTGCACTCTCTCTTCCTGAGCTAGAATCAAAATAAAAAGTGAAGTCTTTATGCCGTAGAGATGGCGGTGTGTGCTCGCACGCTGCAGGCCTTGGGCATGTTCTGCATGCTAGTGATAAAACATCCAGACACAATGGAGGGAGAGTGGAGCTGAACGAGCGGTGAAGGTGCAGAGGAATGATCCAGTATTTTTATTATCAGCTTTGCTTTTCACTGGCCATCAGCTCATCTCCTGCACTCAAGTAGCTCCTAGAAGTTTGTCATTACTGTCCTGTACAATTCACTCTTTGCTTCTCTTGATATCCACTAAAGAACTGCCCATAAGTATACAGTACAATTTTCCATTCCTGTTCTTAGGAATTCTGGTTTAATAAATAGATTTTTTTCCCAAGTTTTCAACCCAATGATTTGTAACTTATTTCAGATCAGTTTCAACCTGTAAAACAAGCAGCATTACAGGTTTCTCCAAAAATAAGAGGCTCACTGGAGTACCCAATGGAATATACATTGTCAGCATAATAAACGATTACTTTAAACCCTGCACCAGTCTTTTTTTTATTTTATTATTATTATTACATTACTACGTATTACGCATGGCCACTACAACACTAAACTTGCAAAAGCGACACAGGCCTACGTTGCCAGTGATTTGAGAAATAGTTTAGACCTGTTTCTTACATAACCCACAAACCAAGTAATCCATGAAGAGTCTATTTTTTGTTGTTAAAGTTTCAAATTTTAAGTCTCGCCAAAAAGAAGCGACCTCAAACAGCGAGCACTTAAAACTTTATCTCTGCTGTGCCGAAGAAATCCTCTCTAAATGTAAATAATTGTAAATCAGGTAGTCAGAGTCTGTGTGATCGCCGCCTGCGTCCCTGATTTGCATGTATCAGCTGTATGAGATCAATCCGCAGGCTGGAGACTTGAAGACACGCGATACAGTTTTTCGACTGAGCCTGGCGCGTGTTCGGAGCATTTGTTTCTTTGCGCGCGGTGAAAGAAGAGGAGAGAGAAGAGGAGGGAGGAGAGGAGACGGTGTGAAGGAGGGGGGTATCAGTTAGACTCGCTGCTCAGACGCTGCCGCACGCTAGAAGGATGCAGACGCGGAGAGAAGCGACCCCACTACAGTTAATTAAAGCGCACTACTCCGCACGTGGCCACAAATGCAAACGGGGCAAATGATTTCGGTTTCTGCGGAGTCGAGTCTTTGAAGAGCGCAAACGGCGGAGGTATTTATTTGTGTTTGATAAAGAGAGAAAGAGAGAGAGAGAGAGAGAGAGGGAAAGAGCAAGAACTGCAAATCTCCCGGTCATTTCTTATTCACTGGACTGTTGCTATCAAAGTGAGGAGAGAGTGCTGGCTTCTGGGAGTTGAGAGGAAATTTAGTTGTCGGTTCGGATCGGCACGAGTCACGTTATGCATGGATTTATGGCACAGGTTTGAGACAAGAAAACACTCTTCTCTGGGTTGTTCAGGTAAGAACTGAAATTGCATACTGTACCACGCAACACATTTTGTCTAGTCTATCTTTTTGCATGTCATTGTGGAATTGTAGAACTATTTTTTTATTTGGTTTATTTGTTTATTAAATCCTAAATTCTTAAAATCCTCCTAGTTATCTCGTTTTACCTGCAAAGCTTCACTAAAATCTCACTCTATCATGACATTACAACTGATTTAAATGTCAAGAAAGTATTGTCAGTGAAAGAAATTCATTTTATTTTGCATTAATGTTGCCAGTAAATGTTTTTATTGTGTTAATTGTGTGGAAGTCTAAAGGCTTAACACATTGGCTACATCATTCATCATTTATCTGGGCTTGGGGCCAGTACAAAAAAACCAGTGACCCCATGTGGTTGAAGAGAAAGTGAAAAAACATTACATTATACTGAACAATGTAGAAAAAAATGCTGCTTCAAGTTTTAAATAGATAATAAATCCCCAAATTTTACTGCAATGTCTATATATAATTGTATACGCTAAAAATGCAGTGTTTAGGCTTATATATAAATTATTGTTATATCATTTTCAGTCCATAACACACTCAATTTTCTGTTTTCCATTGTCATCTGACTTATGTCACGACACTTTTACTGCATCACAGCATTTTCTTTTCATTTTCGAACTCTTTCTTTCAGTCAACTTTCCGCCATGACCAGAAGCAAACTATGTTCTATTTTCCCTTTCTCGCCTCTCTAAACAGCACGGCAAAACATTACAGGGTTTTTGATTCCTATTACTGCTGTGTCACTGTCACATTATTCTGACAGCTACAGAAAAGCATCAGCAGCTGCCTTCCTTACTTGTGAAATCTTATCTTTCTTTAAGTTTTTGGGAGTTTTTCTTGTGAGGGGGGGCTGGAAGGGGAATGGAGAGGAGGGGTAAGCACATCTGAGGAGGCTGTCATGGGAAATATGTGCAGCATGGAAGAGAGCGCTCCCGGGGGATCACTCTACATTTACTGTGGTGAGGCTCAGGGACAAGACAGGGCCAAGTGGAAGAGGAAGACACAAGAAGTCATGCTTATATAATGCAGCTAATGATGAACCGTGATGACTAAAAACCCCCCACGAACGGGACCTTTATAGAGCAAACCAAAATTATTTACTGTTCGGGAAATGCATTTGTCAAGGATGAGCTACTGGGCGTTATTGGCAAAAAGGAAAATATTAAGGCTGCTCTAATAGCTATAATTGAACTGAAATTGCAGTTTGAGTTGCTGCAATGATCAAATCACAAAGGGTGCAGTTCTTATTTAATTTGTAAATGGACAGCACATACTAATGAACATTTACATCCAAATATGTAAAGATTATAAGAAACATAGATCATTTTTATCTTCACTCCCTCCAGAGCCTGATGCCAAACAGTGTACAGGACAGGGAATGAGCAGCAACAATCACACAAAGGCAAATATTACACACCAGCACAATCATTATACATACAATTAGAAGAGATCTTTTAAAAGTTAATCCAGCACCCCCGTAATAATTAATTAACAAATTATTTAGACAAGAATGTCTTCTGCGGAGATCAAAATATGTTGTGCTTTTATAGATAAATAATAATTGTACCTGTAGTTTAGAACTCTACAAATATGTAGCGTCTTCTCTTAAATGTCAGTTCTCCTGAAGTTGTTTACAAAGTGCTGAATAGAATCCCATTTTTAAACTCATAAATGTGATCACTTTCACAATGACATTTTTTACCAAAATTGTTCAGCCTGTCTCAATATATATTTTTGAGTATCCAGATATTAATTACAAAATAGTTTGACAATCCAATCCAGCAAAAATGAGCTAAACAGGATCATTTCTTTAACAGGACTAAGAAATGGCCCACAGAAATATGATTCATACCAGTTAAAGTTAACATAATATCTCTATTTGTAGCTGTTTGTGCAGCATTATGAGATTTTTTTTTTATACTATTAACAGTATACCCCATATTCAAATTTCAGTCATCTTCAAAACAACATTCATTGTATTATTGATAATTCGATCTCTTACCCACCTCTAACAGTAAAAGGGATAAGGACTGCAGTTGAGTGTGTGGTATTGGCAGTATTCAGTGTCAGAATGTGATGCTGTCCCTCTACATGGGGTCACAAGCCAGTATTCCGGTATTGATCATATCAGAGGGCTCATATTTGCACTTCATGTATCACCTCATAAAATATTTGGCATCTAAAGTACCACCATAAAATAACCATCGCCGAGTCTAAAAGGTGTAATCATGCAGGGCATTCGATTCTTGGGTTGTCAAAACCATCTAAAATCAGATACTAATCAATACTAAAACTAATATCAAAACTAGATATCCATTTTAAGTATCACTACTGCAAAAACTCACATGAGCAGGACCAAATTTTAGCTTTCCTTAACAGTTATTGTAATTGATATCAAGTATTGAGTCAGTTCCTTAGTATTGACATTTTCATATCATGACAACACTTCTAGACTCTGACTAAATCAAGACAGAATTAAGATCTTAACAGGACAAGATCAAGGCTCAACTTCAAGGCTCAAGAATGTATTTTTATCAAAAGGAGAAAAAACTGTTAGAAATAGCTGAGACAGTTTGAGAAAAACTGGATAATATTGTTATGTTGGACCATAGCACTCCTTTCACACATGACGCAGCCAGCATCTCTCTTGGAACTATACATTGTGCTCTATATTGTGCTGTATAAGGTTCATTATCTTTATCTTACACAACAAGATTAATAATAGAGTTACTTGTGACTTCCAAAACTCACGAGAATCCCTCTTTGCCCCATATATCTCCAGCTGCTGCACTTGAGCCTGAATCCACCAGTTCATCACAGCAGTTGGCCAATCACAGGGTAGTGTGTGGTTTAGGTAAAAGTCAAAGGGGAAGAACCCAGGGGAAAATAGAACAAAAAACACTCCATTACTCCACCAGGCCTATTACAATCCTAGAGAGAATGCTAAAGAAAGTCTTGATTGAATAAAGAGATGATGTGCTAATAGATAAGTTAACTAAAATAGGGGCATGGCAAAATCTCTCCAACTGATTAAATATCTCTATAATTTGAACATGTATCTGTCCAAAACTGCACTCACAAGACAACAACTTCACAGGAGTCCATGCAAAATCAGCTATACTGAATAGTACTGGGAAACTGTGTATTTATGTGAAGAAACTCATGATTCTTTTCCAAACCTTCAGCTCTCTTATTACATTCTTTGCTATTGCTGTTGTTGTCCCATATACAGTAAATTCTTAAAATCTAAATAAAATAATTAATCGACTAAGACATTACAGAGTTTAGAATACAGAGAAATCGATGGCCAATTACCCTTGCCGATATTTTTTCTCCAAATGATGCACCAAATTATGTAAGTTTTTACCACAAACCTGTAAGAAAGCTGTGTGGTCATGTTAAAATAAATCTTTATGTGTATTTTGAAGGCAGCTAATCAGCCAAAACAAAATATCGATCTCTACTGGTGTTTTAAGACCGATAACCAATACACTAAAAAGTGCAAATATTGGCCCAGCCAACCGATATATCTGTCTATCTCTATAAGGCAACATGGATCAATTAATCGACTAAAGAACTACAGCCCCACCAACATCACGTCTTCTCCCTGTAGCCCTTTTTCAAACAGTGTATTGCTGGCCTGTACAGTGATGTCTGAAGCATATATGTGGTGCAGTGTGTGACTGTGTATGTGGTCTCCAGCAGATGTGTTCTGTCATGTCGTGGCTGCTCTTCCTGTGCCTCTGGCTCAGTGTCACTGCCATTCAACTGTGTCAGGCCACTTTCTATGACACCATCCCTCAGCATCCCGGGACCAGGCCTGGACGCACCACCCTCCACATGATCGGTGAGTCGCAATCTCTTCACATTATACACTGCTCTGTCTGCAGCCATTGGAAAAATAACATCTTTTTAAGGCAGTATGATTTTAGGAAAGTGTGCTATTGCAATTCTTCTGACTATTATGAGATTCGATTTGTGGTTCATATATTTTAAAGGGTCTGTATATATGTTATTTTCTGATCTTTGCCGTAATGTTGTTTCCTCACCAAAACACAACCAAAAAAGAGTTGTGTTTTATTTTTATTCACTCACATACACAAATATGCACACAAATTCTGTATATTTAGGTGAAGTTCTTCTCTCAAACAGAAAACACTCTGTTCCATATTGTGATGTCATGTGATAATAAAGGAAGTGCTCCACTGTGTTTTTAAACTATATACACCTTCATTAGAATAATTTATAATGTCAGCCCTAGACTTACCTGTCTCTACAGAACAAAAGGTAAAATGTTGCTGTTAACTTGAAAACTGCTGCCTCATGACATCACAAGGTGGAACAGAGAATTTTGACCATTGGAGATGTAGACAGACTATTGAAGTACATTTAGAGAGAACACTGAATGAACTGCTTTTTGAATCTCATGCGTTATAGAACCTGATAGGTGACTCGCTCTTAGTCATAATATATTGTTATGTGTTGGATGATGTTTTCTATTGGGTTGAATAATCTAAAATGTTTGGAATTCTGAAATAAGTGATAAGTTTTCTGTGCACATTTTTGAACATGCCCAGAGGCACTGCCATTTGAGAGAAGACCGAAATTTGAACCTCTAAACTAACACAAGAATCACATGTGTTTCAGAATATTTTTGTAGTGGACTCAACTAGCAGGCTAAATAAGTCCTCATAAAGACTATTTTGTTTTCTGCAGAAGACATTCTACCACTAGAAATAATTGTAGCATTCAGATCATTTTAGTTGAAAATGTAACCCCTTAAAGCACTATATAAAATCTATATTTAAAAAATTACATTGTTAGATTGCAGATGTTTGTTAAAATAGTTGGCTTCATACAAAAAAGAAATCTTGAAAATTATGTGTTACCTAGACTTGGAGCTCCACAAGTAACATAATGTATAACAGCTTTTAATGGCTGTGAATGCATTTGACATTGATTCTGCGTAATGCTTTTCTATGTACACTGTAATTACTTTTACTTTCCTTCATCATCTTAATACATGTAATAATCCCATTTCTATAATAAAATAAAGTGCAAAAGAAGTTTCATTATAGGCACTTATGTAGGTGAATAAGGCTATTCTGATTTGGTCCTGGTTTGGCCCTAGTTTAATTGTGATGTAGATCTAGGTAGGTCTTCTTCTAGTGGCTTAGTTCTGGCTTAGTCCTCGTTTAGTCCTGGTCTAGTCCTTGACTAGTCTTGGTTTAGTCCTGGTCTAGTCCTTGACTAGTCTTGGTTTAGTCCTGGTCTAGTCCTTGACTAGTCTTGGTTTAGTCCTGGTCTAATCCTCTTTCAGTCCTGGTTTACCCCTGATCTAGTCCTGGTTTAGTCCCAGTTTAGTACTGGTCTAGTCCTGGTTTACTCCTGGTTTAGTTCTGGCTTAGGCCTGGTCTGGTTCTGGTTTACTCATCTTCCAGTCCTGGTTTAGTCCTGGTTCTGGTCTAAATCCTAGTTTAGTCCCAGTTAAGTCCCAGTTTAGTGCTGTTTTAGTCCCAGTTTAGTCCTGGTCGAGTCCTGGTTTACTCCTCCTCTTGTTTAGTCCTGGTTTAGTCCCAGTTTGGTTCCAGTCTAGTCCCAGTTTAGTTGTGCCTCTGATTCTGTATTTAAAAGTGAGAACGCAGCTATTATTCATCATTAATCACACTGACATGAACCATAAAAGCCCAGTGAATCAATAAATCAATGTATTGTTTTTTGAATGGAAATCCAGTGTGCCCATAGACTCCCACACACTGACTAAGGTTTCACATTAAGCACAAAACAGAAGCACTGGTCTTATTTCACAACACACGAATCCTTTATGTCCCAGTCACTCATTCAGAAAATTGATGCAATTACATTTCCCTGTAGCCACGTCATAGCAAGACAGCATGTACTTTATATGCATTAAAATACATAGTGAGCACAATATAGGCGCACCGTGGAGATGTTTTTGTTGTATTTTTATTTTACTTTCTTTAGGCTGCTTCTTCAAAATGCTCTCACTCGAAATAAGACAATGATAAGCACAAGTTTTCTACGCCAGATGTTCTTCCTGGATCAACCATATGTATTAATAATTGGGAGTACTTGAAAATTTCGTATGCCAGTGTTTTGGGCCTATGCTTGTTTTTTTGGAAACTCTGTGTAATCAGTGGCTTCTTTTGGCGCTTTCTCCTTCGCATAATTTAAATTAATATTCAACAAAATCTAGTATTTAAATTGTGACATTTATGTTATGGCAGTTATGATGTGACCCATTTCTGTCAAAATATGTACTTGAAAAAAAAAAAGACATGTTTTTTTTTCCCCAGGTATTTTAAACATAACTAGATAATTATTTAATATTTTACCCTGTTCATAGTGGCACCGTAACAAAAAGCTGATTTTCATTTCATTATTGGAAAATAGCTCGCAGAAAATTTTGACGTAAGTATGATCCACAGTTTAATTTTTTTTAAAAACACAAGTAAATAAAGAGCTGTGGGCAAAGATAGGGGGTAGGTGAAAGCAGACATTTTCTGAGCACTCAAACCCCGAATGCACAACAATACAGGTAGAGGTGGGATCAAGTTGTTGTTTTACAAGTCTCAAGTAAGTCTCAAGTCTTTGACCTCAAGTTCAAGTCAAGTCCAAAGTCAAATACAGGAAAGTCCAAGTCAAGCCTCAAATCACTGGCCCATAAGTCCAAGTCAAGTCCAAGTCATCTGCTTTGAGTTTCAAGTCATTTCAAGTCTTTAAACCAAAGAACCAAATATAGCATAGATTTTTGCAATTTATATGAATTTTAAGATAAATTGTTCTTTAAAAAAATCGTAATATATTTATATATGAGTTTATAGAGTATGTAAGGGTTGCAGAAATGGGTTTTCTTTTTCCCTTTAAATGTCTTGACAAGATCATATAGTGAATCATTACAGTCAGAATAGAAAGAATTCAGATTTAAAAGTGCTTCTGAAGTCTTCATTCAGTCACAGGCCTCAAGTCCGAGTTACTCTAGCATGAGTAGATCTATTTAAAATACAACTCTGAGCTAGTTAATAATGTAGAACACTGCTAATAAAAGTAAATTTTACATATTGTATCTTCTTCAACCACATACTGGATTAATAAAAGGAATTATGAACTTCCCATTCCTAGTTGGGACTAACATGTACCATTGTATATGGACAGAAATGTATAGTAGAAATTTGAATGACGTATTTAAAAGTTGTAACAATTTATTTGCTACTTTACAGCATTTTGTTTATTCAACTCAACTGCATGCAAATGAGGCTTTTTCTAAGTAAAAGAAAGTAATTGGAGGAAATAGGCCAGACCAAACAGTACTTGAAAGACCCCATATAATTTATATACTCTCCCACCACGCAGAAAGTGCTAGTACAGCAGTTCAGATGTCATTAATAAACAAGGCATTTTGAAAGTTTTACATAGCACTTTTTATAAGGTCACCGTTGTATGCCTTTTCTGTTTTGTTACATCCGTTTAATTAGCTTGTCACTTACTCTCTGAGAACAACTGGTATACTTGCATTTGGATTGCATTAAGTCATTTATTGCATTAATTAATAATAGTCTTTTAGCAGACAGGATAGAAAGAGGCAGTTCTTCATTAGGACCTTAATACCCTGAGCGTTCACTAGTGGAGATCACACTATGTGCTGGTTTTGCACTTCCATCCCCAAAGCTATTACAGTTGATATTCATGCTACAGCGCATCTCTCTGTATTTGATCTGTGTGATTGTGTTTCCCTGTGAAATTGAGTTGAATAGAAAATGACTGAAAACGTCCCACGTTTGTTTTCCTCTGGCAGGTGTAAGGTATGGTTATGGTAAATAATTGCAATTGCGACAGAGCTTTTGGGAAGAGAGGGAAGAAGAGAAGACTTCAAAGAGGGACAAGTTGGATGGCACACCTCAAGCATATCAGCGAGGGGTCTTTTTGAATCATGTGAAAGCAGTGTGCGGCAAAACTTCCTATTCCAACAACTTTATTTATTAAATCACCTCTCTTCAAGTATTAATGCATAAAGACAGTCCCTTTTAAAAAGCAGAGTTACAGAAAGTGGCTTCATAAGAGAAACTGTACGTGTCAGGTTTGTATGTATACTAAAATCTGATAGTAATGCATTCATTTTATTCACATTTTTGGCACTCAAAGATACATGACATTGCAATACAAATGAAGTTGTATTCTCATTCCTGTGATAATCTGCTGTTTTAGTTTTACTTTATATTATATTTTGATTCAATGTTTCTCTGTTTTGTCCCACCCAATCCCCTTATTGGTCAGTTTTAGTCATGTTCTGAGTGAGTGACAGCCAGATTTAACCAACCACAGGGAAGTGTGAGCTCTCAAGGCAAGCAGATAGTTGTAGTGGCCTCTTAAAGACAGTATAAAGCTTGTTTGTTAGTTTTATTATTACTATTAAATCATAATGGCTCTAGAAAATCATGATATACACTTTTTGGCACTCCACCCACTCTTATATTACATCGTACATTTGCTTCCGACACGCTGTGACGACTATTTAGACACAGCTGACCTGGAGCTGTCCAATTCTGACTAGTGCTTTTCCAACTACTGCCTACCACCTCCACGTAGGCTGGAAAGATGAGGTGTCTTGCCCAAAAAAGCACAGGTCAAAGCTAGGTATGAACTACCAACCTTCTGCTTACAAGATCAAGGTCATCCCATCACCTACTTTTGCCCCCAAAGAATGTAAAAAAAAAAATAAAAAAATCATGGGCCAGTATCACGTTAGGGAGAGATCCAACTTTTAAAATCACTAAACACAATATCCACACATAATCATTGTTTTAGATTGGCTCCACAAACTTAACC